TAATAATAATAATAGTTAAGAGTAGAACTCTGTTTAAGAAAAGAAAAACACAATGTTAAACAATATTTCAACAGAATGTTTGTTTTCTTCATGAATGAGGCAGACTGGGTTTTTCTTTTCTTTTTCTTTTCTTAAATCGTGCACTTCTCTTATCTTTTGAAAAATATTGTAAGATCTACGGCAATCATTTTGTTTAATTATATTAATAATAATAATAACGATGATATTGTTTTTATTTTTTTTATTTTTTATTTTTTTTTGTCAGTGGAAAGTTTCATGATGCCATTTCTAAACTTAGGTCCCTGGGCGGGACCCGGAAAGAAATGTTTAAACGCCAGAAATCAAAGAAAATAAAATAATAATAATAATAATAATAATAATAATAATAATAATAATAATAATAATTTATGTAACTTTCCTAATATTTTGCTACACATCCAGAAGAACGCGATTTTCAGAAAAAGAAAAAGAAACAATGTTTATAAATATTTTTTGTTTTATATATAACCTGAAGAAGATATAAATACGGTCGAAATATTGTTTTTAATTCATTTGCTTTGTTTTTTTGTTTTTGTTTTTTGTTCTTTTTTTTAACAGTTTATCATGCCTTTATGTGTTATTCAAAGCCCAAGTATATATTTTTTGAATTGTAAGAATAATTCGTTTTTTATTCTTTTTTTCTCTTTTTTCATGAGTGAATATAGCATTGACGCAATCTTTTAAAAATGATAATGATTTTCTTCCAAATACGTCATAACTGGGTGGGGTTAGACAGCTGGATTCATATCTTTCGCAAGTATATTTGCGTATAAGTGAATTTAATGAACCCGAGTGAAATTCGAACCCGGTTTTCCGATTACTCTGGGCCGCTATCACTTATACTACCCACACACGCTCCAAAAATGTTTAATCATTGTTAAATAATGTTTCTACTTTTCTTTTCTCAAAACTGCCTTTTTTGAATACTACTACTGCTACTACTACAAATAATAATATTGATAATAATAGAAGAAGAAGATTTTAATGATGATAATAATAATAATAATAATAATAATAATAATAATGGCATAGTAATGGTAATGATATTAAAATAATAATTATAATAATAAATGATGATAAAAATAATAAGATAATATATAAAGGGCCTTTAAAGAGATTTCTGGTTGTCCAAGCCTTAAGGAAATACAAAATATTGTACTCACGAGTACAATTCACACATGTTGAAAAGCTTTATCTATGTAAAATGTCTGTGATCATGATTTTTTTTACAAAAATGATCACACCAGAAATCAAAGGAAAATAATAATAATAATAATAATAATAATAATAATTATTATTATTATTATTATTATTATTATTATTATTATTATTATTATTTCCTTTGATTTCTGGTGTGTACTCATTTCTTTCTCGGTTTCGCCCAGAGACCTAAGGGTAGTGGGCATTTTCCACTAAGCAATTAAAAAAAAGGTACATATTTTACTTAGATAAAGACCTTCGTAAGGTGTGGGCGGCACTCGTCAGAAAATTTGTTTTTTTTTTAATTCCTTAAGGTATAAGGTACCAGGAATCCCTTCAATAAGTCTATTGGAAGCTTTTCCAACCAATCCGAGGGCTCCAACTACAACAGTGGTTGCTAATGTTCTCATATGCTACATTTTTGAGACCCAATTTTCACATTAATAATAATAATAATAATAATAATAATAATAATAATTATTATTATTATTATTATTATTATTATTATTATTATTATTATTTCTTCTTTTTGATTTGTGCTTTTATACATTTCCTCTGGGTTCTCAATAAGAATTCGGAAATTCCTTATCTGGAGTTCTTTATTATTGATTAAGTACGCCAGATTACGAACGCCCGTCTCAATTTTGCATGTTAAGAAATCACAAAATATGAATATATTTGTTTTGGCTTCCGTAGGGAGATCGGTTTACAATTAATTTAATTACTGTCTGAAATTCTGAGACAAGGAGTTATCATTATTTACATGCAGATTAATGTCCTCATAGCTGTTATTGTTATAACAAGGTCCGTGCCTTCATATGAAGGTTCATGTCTTCATTGGGTTGCATGTCAATCCGGGTAACTTTCAGAGAATTTCTGGGTTCCTTTCGAAATTTCCTGATCGATAAGCACCTGTTGAAATCTGAGGTGCACAACAATTGAAACTTTGTTATAACAATAACAAAGAAGAGGATAATAGTAAACGTATAAATTATATAAATGAAAATTTATAGTAAACTTAAAATAACTTTACTTAAGTTTAATTCACTTTCGTGTTCTGGAGATTAAATCTGGAGATTAAATCTGGAGATTAAATTATTAAAAGAAAAAATACATAAAATTGATGTTTATAAAATTTAAATATAACTTTTTAAAAATTAAATAGAATAAAAAAAAACAATGGTGTTATTTTGGCTTGGTATCTATGTGTTATTAATCTACTTAGGTATACCATCGATTTTTAGCAGATTTACGTCTACCG